TATATATATATATAAGGTCGTGGAACATTGTTGGTAAGAACTTCGTTCCTCTTTAACTTGGTCGGACTCCTCCTTCCCTAGAGAAAGCTGCCCCACGGTGAACTTAACCGAGTTTCTGGAATTGAGCCAATGTTCCGGGTTTGCACGACAGCACTGAACCGGCCATAAACCAGTTAAACGGGATTGGGGGGGGGGGTGTCAGCCCACCCCGCTAGGGTTAAATTGTGGCTAGATCGTTTATAGCTCGAGAAGGCGGGCGGTAGTCTCTTGCCCCCAAGCAGACCTTTTTTAAAAAATAAAAAAAAATCCCAATGAAGTGGCAGCGAGCGCTAAAAACAAAACAAAACCCGAATGATGGCAAGGCGGCCGCAGACCTGCTCACCTGCTACTACCTGCCCCGCTGAACAAAGGGAAGGTGGCTTCCTTCCGGGTAAAACAGGCTGGGAGCATAACAAACACCGCAGCGGGGTCAGGTGTGCGCCAGCCAGAGCGCCGCGTCTCTCTTCCCGGCGCAAAGGAAAGTTTTTGGGTGTTTTTTTTTTTTTTGCAAACCAGAGAAAGTGGAACTTCCAGAGAAAGTGAGAAAACTTTTCTCTCTCCTGCTTCGGCCGGAGCTCCTTCCCGTGGGGGGTGGGGGGGGGGGGGGGGGGGGGGGGGGGGGGACCCGAATGGCCCCCCCCCCCCCCTTCTGCCCTCTTGTCTCCCCCCCTCCCTCCCTCTCTCTTACTACTCACCTCTTCCAACGCTCCCACCGCGCCCCGGCACTTCTGCATCTTGGCGGCGAAGCCGGACGCCAGCGGCGAGCTGAGATCCTCCGAAGTGACGGCCACGAACTCCGAGACGCTGAGCTGTTCGGGCATGTTGGAGGGAGGGGTGGGGAGGGGGGGAACGTCGTCTGGGCGATCGGAGGAGGTGCTGCGCCCGAAAGGGAAGAAAGGGAGAGGAGAAAGTCACCCCAAAGCTGGGGAGGTGGGGGGGCGAAGCCACCGGTGCACGGTGGGGTTTGGGGTGGCGGGTGGGAGTGTCCCTTGGCGCGAGGAGCGTTGCAAAAAAGAAGAAGGGTACGAAGCGCCCCCTCCTCCCCCCCCCGTTGGGTCTGAGCCGTTGCGGAGAGTCTCCCCCCCACTCCCCTTACCGGATCGTCGGCGGCGGCGGCGGCGGCGTCGCTTCAGTCACATCCCTCGCTCGGGCTCCGCTCCGGGGCGCCAATGAACTCGAGGAGGCGCCTTCAAGCCCGTTTTGGAAGTTTCCTCCCCTCCCTTGGAAGACTTTCCTAGCGGTCACGTGGGCATAATTGTTACGCCGCCGGAGCCCGCAGCTTTTTTGGACCCCCGCCCGTTAAAGGCAAAGCGCATCCAAGGCCCCGGTGCCTTGACAGAGACCCGAGTGGGAAGGGACCTTGTAGGCCATCTAGTCCAACCCCCGCCCAAGCAGACCCTACACCATTCCTGACAGATGTCCAGCAGTCCAGCCTCTTCTTGAAAGCCTCCGGTGATGAAGCTCCCACAACTTCTGAAGGCAACTTCTGTTCCATTGTTTGATTGTTCTCACTGTCAGAAAATTTCTCCTTGTTTCCAGGTTGAATCTCTCTCCTTGATCAGTTTCCATCCATTACTCCTTGTCTGCCTTTGGGTACCTTGGAAAATAGTTTGACCCCCTCCTCTTGCTCTCTCTCTTTTTCTTTCTCTCTCTCCCTTCCCCCCCCCCCCCACCCCTCCTCCACCCGTCTTTCATGCCCTCCCGGAATGGATCTTCTTCTCTCCAAACAGCAGCAAAGGAACTTCCAGCTGTTTGTTTTGTTTGCAAACTGTATTTCCACTTGGAAATCCCAAAGGTGCTTTTTCCCCTGCCGCCCCCTTCCAAGAGGCAACTGGACTGGGGAAAAGCTGGGGAAAAGCAAAGCTGGCTGAGGGATTCTGGGAGTTGAAGTCCTCCAGGCTTAAAGCCACGCTGGCTGGCGGATTCTGGGAGCTGAAGTCCTTCAGGTTTAAAGCTGCCAAGGTTGGAGACCCCTGCCCTCCGTTTTTGAAAGGCATCTCCCAGTGCGAAAAGTGTTGCATGGAGGGGGGAGGGTCGCCTTGAAAGGGAAAGCTTGGAGGCCATCTTGCGTGGGGGGGGGCGAGGGCATGCACGGTGGTTGGGCCAGAGCAATCCACCCAGCAAGGGGTTTGCAGGGTCAATATTGCAGGTCGTCCTCCACTTACGACCGCAATGGAGTCCACCATTTGGGTTGCACAGTGAGAAATTTGATGAAGTGGGCCTTGCCCCATTTTTACGACTGTTCTTGCCACTGTCGTTAAGCGAATCATTTCCATTGTTAAATGAGCCACATGGTTGGTTCAAGGGACTATGGTTTTCCCCATTGACCTTGCCTGCCAGAAAGAGGATCCCAGGAGCCCCCTGGGGATGCTGCAATCGTTATAAATGTGAGTCAGCTGTCAAGCCTCCGAATGTCAATCACATGAAACACCCCCCGTGGGGATTCGGCAATGGCCGTAAGTGTGAAAAATGGTCATAAGTCACTTTTTTTTCCAGCACTGTTGTAATGTTGAACGGTCATTAAGTAGACCGTTGTAAGACGAGGAGTCTAGGTTTAGCCCTCTGTTAATTGCTGGATAAAATTTCCTTCAAGGGCCCTTGTGAAAGTCTCTGCCATTGAGTTTTGTTTTGTTTTCTTTGCAAGGAGTTTTTTTCAAGGTCATTTCTGCCCTTGTGATTTAATAGGGTCTGCGTTGGATACTCAGGCCATAAGATTCCCCAGCTGAAGTCTGTTTTATGACTGTTATATGGATACAGTAGGACCGGAGGACTCAAGAAGCCGCTCTCCAAAAGAAGTTTGATGAATTTATTGCAGCAAAACCAACCATTTAGAAGTGAATAGAAGAATAAATAAATAAGAATATAAAAATGAATAAAAGAATAGCAGCATTGATTCTCAGGGACTGTGCCAATGGTGGTACTTTTATCAGTTCTGTGGGCATGGCTTGGTGGGTGTGGTTTGGTGGGCGTGGCAGGGGAAGGTTACTGCAAAATCTCCATTCCCTCCCCACCCCACTAACCTGCTTTCCAGCTCCCTTCTCCTGTGCAGGGCAACCAAAGAAGACCCAGCCAATCAGCTGGGACTCGGGAGGCGGAGAATCGATGGGGGCGGGGCCAGTCAGAGGTGGGATTTGCCAGTTCTCCGAACTACTCAAAATTTCCGCTACTGGTTCTCCAGAACCAGTCAGAACCTGCTGAATACCACCTCTGGACTGCACATTTTGCAGTGGGCGGGTTGTGGCTGTAAAATTTAAGTCAATTTCTGGAAGATGTTGCTGGGAACAAGATGCAAATTGTCTTGTTTGTTTACTATGTAAATCCCGAGGAGTTCAATGGGTTTACTCCCACGTATTCTCCAATGTGGATTGCTGTCACAACAGCTGAACCCCATCCTTCAGAAGTAAAACCACTCATTTGGATATCTCTTTGATGTCTAGTGCTGGTGTTTCTCAACCTTGGCAACTTTAAGAAGTGCAGAGGTCAGCAGGCTGGCTTGGGGAATTCTGGGAGTTGAAGTCCGCATGTCTTCAAAGTTGCCAAGATTCAGAATTACGGAGGTGTCTGATTCCTCCCATCTCCACTTTAAAGAAGCCATTGGCTCATCCAACATTTTGGTTGAAAAGACCATAGAGACCACCTGGTCCAAGCCCCCAGCCAGGGCAGGAGTCCACAATAGATTAACAGAGTTGGAAGGTCATCTAGTCCAACCCCCTGCCCAAGCAGGAGGCCCTACACCATTTCTGACAAATAGCAGTCCAGTCTCTTCTTGAAAGCCTCCAGTGATGAAGCTCCCACATCTTCTAAGGACAAGCTGTTCCACTGACTGATTGTTCAGTTTTCATCCACTATTCCTTGTCTGGCCTTTAGGTGCCTTGGAAAATACCCTGGCCCCTTCCTCTCTGTGGCAGCCCCTCAAATATTGGAACACTGCTGGTCCCAGCGGTGGGATTCAATCAATGTTACAGACGGTGCGGTGAAAGTGCATTTTTGGTGTGCATGTGGAGCCTTTGCAAAAAAATCATCAGCTGTGCCACCCAGACAGCTGAGAAGCACTGTGCGCAGGTGCACAGCATTTGAAAAACCTCTTCTTTCCTGCTTTTTCAACCTTAGCTGTGCAGCACAAAGCAGCTGTGGTTGAAAAAGCAGGAAATAAAAGGACAGCCAAGAGCCCAGAAGGGCGGCTGGGCCAAACACACAACCAAAAGGTCATCGCAGTTCGGTGAATCTGGATGAGAAGCGAAAAGTCTTCAAAGAAAAAACCAGAAAGTCCAGTTGCCTCTTGCAAAGGCATATTTGAGTCGACCATGACCTAGATGACTGAGAATCTCCACTGACATCTGGGGAAAGGTTATCCTAGCATAAGCACTGGGTATCGGGAAGGTATTTTCCAGCCTCAATTTAATTCTGGGCAAGGAAATAAATCACTGGATCAATAGGTGGCCATACACATTGATCAAATCCCTATGGAGAGTCTCAATCATCCAAGTTGTGGTTGTCCCAAAAGTGCTTTTTCAAGAGCTGAAGAAGCTTCTTAGATGGGAAGCGAAACGTCTTCAAAGAAAAACCAGAAAGTCCAGTGGCCTCTTTAAAAATGCGCCTTTGGTCAAATCAATCAAGCAACCCCAGAGATTTCAAATAGAACTCATAAAATAAAGGGCACAAGGATTCTGGCCTTGGAGTTCTGCAAAATTTCCAAAAATTAGATAAGGTTAGATCTACCACCAAAGGCAAACTGAGCATCAAAGGAATTCTGCTCTTTAAGAAGTACGCAAACTGATGTAAGAAGTTACAAAATCTCAAGAAAGAAACATGAAAGATTTACCAAAAAACCAATAAGAGTTGAAATTCTAAAAAGGACAAGAGATGATGGCTAGATATAGAATACTTCTTAATATAGTGACTATTTTATTAAGAGAAAAAAGAGGTAGAATGTAGAATTTGGGAAAATAGTATTATGTATACACTGATACATAAATAGAATACACTATGATTACCATATATAGACAAATGTTAGATGTTGAAAGATTATGGTTATGTATATCTAAATAGTATTATTGTTAGTATTGTGTATAAAATATATCGACCCAGACAATATACTGTTCACTAAGCACTTATGGACGTAAAGAAAAAACTATAAATAAATCTATATATATAAAAGTGAAATACCACTCATGCATTATCACAAAATCTCCAGAACCGTAAAGCCTACAAACTTGAAATTTGGCACACATGTTCCTCTTGGCTTCTAGGTGCTCACTATGAAAGGATTTTTCAAAAAGACCATCAGAGTATTAGTATTTCCTATATTATTATTATTAACACACTCTGATGCTAAGGAGTTCTACTCCCGCTCCCCACCTGAAAAGAAATCTCTTCCAAATGCAAAACACAAGCAGAGGAGAGGAGTTTCAATTTCAGTTTTACTTTCACAGCAGCAACCAGCTTTAGTACAGAACAGTTGAGCTAAGCCACGACCAGGCTCCTTGCCGTCTCCTTCTTGCTCACACAGCAAATACTGTTTCAGTTTCCAAACAGCCTTCAACTCTCTCACACACTGATAGGATGCTAGCCAGATGAATACCGATGGATGCTGGTAGGCAGAGGCAGAATTTCCCCCCCTTATTTTCCTCCCCAAAAACTAAGCCCGACCACATAGTTTCTTTTTGAGGATCTCACTCGCAATTCTGGAGCCAAGGATTGTGTGTGTGTGTGTGTGTGTCTAACAGGCAAATTTGGATTAGTCTTGTGTTTGGTTGCCAGTTGTTCAGGGGAAAAACACCTGGCCTGACTGCTTCTGTCAATAGTGGCTGCCAATGGAGAAATCAGCAGGTGATAAGAGTTCAAGGTAAAACATAAGGCAATGATTCTTGCAAACAAGGCATGGCTGACAGCATAGAGGTTATATATTTCTTCAAGTGGAGTTTCTCCTGATAACTTACGAGGACACACCCAGGCAGTTTGTCTGAGAACAACACGGAAGCGACTTGCCCTTCTCTTCTTCCTGTTATATGTTGTCCTCAACTTACGACCACAACCGAGGCCAACATTTCTGTTGCTAAGCAAGACAGTTAAGTGAGTTTCGCCCATTTCACGACCTTTCTTGGCTCGATTATAAGAATAACAGAGTTGGAAGGGACCTTGGAGGTCATCTAGTCCAACCCCCTGCTCGAGCAGGAGAGTCTATTCCAAATATTAGCCTCTACCTA